AGCACAGAACAAGGTAAATACTAAAGGGATATGAACTATTAAAACAGATGTCACAAATTCCTTGACTACACAATTTTTTTTATTGTGGTAAGAATAATTAACATGAGATGTGCGCTCTTAACAAAATTTGTTAAGTATCACTAACTATGGGCACAATGTTGTACAGATCTCTAGAACTTACTCATCTCGCATAAATGAAACTTTATATGCACTGAATAGTACTCCCCATTTCCTCTTCTTCCCAGTTCCTGGCAACTGCCACTCTACTCTCTGCTTCAATGAGTTTGACTCTTTTACACTTGATCTTAGCCAAAAGGCCAAGAAGTGATAGAGTTTGACTATTTTAGATACCTCACACAAATGGAATAAGGGAGTATTTGTGCATCTGTGACCAGTGTATTTCACTTAGCATAATGTCCTCAAGTCATCATGTTGTTACATATTGCAGGATTTCCTTCTTTTTAAAGGCTGAATAATGTCCCACTGTAATATACGTACACCACATTTTCTTTATCCCTTCATCCATCCAATGGACATTTAGGTTATTTCTACTTCTTGGCTATTGTGAATAATGCTGCATGAACAAGGGAGTGCAAATATCTCGAGATCATGATTTCAATTATCCTGGATACATACCCAAAAGTATTTAGGATTGCTGGATCAAATGATAATTCTAAATTTTTGAGCAATCCCTATACTGTTTTCCTTAGCAGCTACACCATTTTACATTGCCACCCATAGTATACCAGGGTTCCCTTTCTCCACATCCTTGCCAATACTTACTATCTTTTTTTTTTGATAACAGCCATTCTAGCAGGTGTGAACTGATATCTCATTGTGGTTTTCATTTGCATTCCTCTGATTATTAGGGATGTCCAGCATCTTTTCATCTACCCGTTGGCCATTTATATGTCTTCTTTGGAGAAATTTCTATTCAAGTCCTTTGCCCATTTTTTTTGCCTGGTTACTTTTGTGCTATTGAATTGTAGGAATTCCTTATATATTTTGAATATCAGACATATGGCTTGCAAATTTGTGATTTCAATACACAAAGTTCCGGACACATAATTCCTTACACCAGTCCTGTAAGGTATTATTCCTATCTTACAAATAAGAAAACCCAAGGTACAAAGAAACTAAGTAACTTGCCTAAGGTCAGATCGGCTGAAGGGCAGGTTTGTTTGAATCCAAAGCCCATGTTGGTTCTAACCACATCATGCTACCCAATAACTAATGCCTAATGGTGTAAGATTGAGTTATCTGAAAAATTAGCTTTAGACCAACTCATGTCCTGATATCAGATCAGTGAGATTCCATGATGAAGAGCCTCAAGGAGTAGCGTAAATTGGGAGAAATTACTCAGATATTTATCTGAGGAAACAACAGAAGACTGACTATACAGTTATGCAGTTACAAGTACAGTGTGGTAAAGTAAAGAAACAAATGTAGGCAGGCTGGCAGAAAAAAAAATCCAGTATTTCAGTTGTAATATTCAATGTGAATGGATTAAATTCTCTCGCCACATCTCAGACATATAAAAGTGGTCATATTAAAAATGGAAAACCAAGTTATAGACATTTTATATTCAAAACTTTATAAACTCAATTTCCTGTGCATGTGTGTGTGCTAATCAATCTCTCTCACGTTTCCACATCATATCTGTGTTAGTATATGATTAACTACAAGGAGAAAAGTGAGGAAAGATACAAACCAGGGTAGAAACATGGGTTACCGAGCATGTGTGTACCTGGAAGACGGTCCAGGTGGCAGGGTGCAGAGAGAAGGGAGGTTAGAACACCAACAAGAAACTGCCTGTATGACATGATGCCATATAGATAAAATTATGCTTATCAAGAAATTAGAAATAAAAACACAATGTTTTAGACTAATATTTACTAATCTGATATACACAATGGGTTCAGGGAAAAATGTAAGACAATATGTATTTCACTAAACCTACCACCCAATTCCTATGTATGTGTATATGTATGTATATTTATATGTGCATTGTTTGTACAGGCAGGAGGCCAAGGTGATAAAACACACACTAGGGTGTGAATGTTGGTGACCAGGGGATTTGGGGGCAGAGTGGGGCATGATGATTAGCTTTCCTTTTACTCAGCTTTGTATTGCTACAATTATGTAAACAGCATTATTTATTTTGTAATTTTAAAAAACACTGAGGAAAAATTTAAAAAGTGTATAGGTTATGGAAACAAAATGAAGGCCAATAATTAATGACATATATGTAATATACATATGTGCAAGCTGGCCTTTGCTATTTAAGAAGTATGTTCATTCAGTATGGATATACCAAGCTCCTACTCTGTGCCAGACCCTGGTTCTAGGTGCCTTGAGTATTCAGAACAACCTTTTGCTTTTCATGTAACTATACTAAAATGAGAAAGATAAAATATAATTTATATAAGCTACTAAATCTAGATTTATGAAGGAATGGCCTCTATATATTAGCTCTTAGATGGTAATTCAATTATCTGATTAATTAAAAATACCAATAGTTGATTTTTTTTTTTTGTTTGCTTGTTTGGAGATAGAGTCTCACTCTGTTGCCCGGGCTAGAGTGCCATGCCATCATCCTAGCTCACAGCAACCTCAAACTCCTGGGCTCAAGCGATCCTCCTGTCTCAGCCTCCCGAGTAGCTGGGACTATAGGCATGTGCCACCATGCCTGGCTAATTTTTTCTATATAGTTTTAGTTGTCCAGCTAATTTCTTTCTATTTTTCAGTACAGACGGGGGTCTCACTCTTGCTTAAGCTGGTCTCGAACTCCTGACCTCAAGCCATCCTCCTGCCTCAGCTTCCCAGAGTGCTAGGATTACAGGCGTGAGCCATCGCGCCCGGCCAATGGTCAATTTTTTAAGTGATGGTTCCAAGTGCTGAAATATTTCATATTATGGTGATTTGTCTATTAAATATTGACCAGAAGCAGAAATGAGATTTTCTGTAAAGACTGCTGTTAATTTTTGAAAAGTGTCATTAGTTAATTACAAATTTTTTTTCACCCAAAGGGATCCTTAATTCTGTACATGACTTGACTTCCTACCAAGTAACTAGTCCAAAAGGTACTAGGATACAAGTCTGACAGAACACACATTCCCTACTCTAGGTACAACCCATTTCATTTCTCACACATTGGTAATCTATAGTTGGAATATAGCTCAATGCCAGTTTGCTACATGGTGACCAATTCTACTGCCAATTTACAACTACCTTATTTTAAATTTATCTGTCTCATTTGGGTCCCGGCCTTAAGCTGTAATTCCAAAGATTTTTTATCAAGATTCATTTTAGAGGTTTTTGGGGAACCTCATCTATCTTTTAACTGCTATGCTCCAGGCTATTCCTCAGGCCAAGGCTAGCTCTCCAAATTTTTATCTTCTTTGCAGAAACAGGCTGAGGGACTAAATCTATAGTTTTTCCAAAGTATAGTCACATCAGCATCCACTCGACAGCTTTTGGATTCTACCATCATGCTTAAAATAAGGCTGACTCTAGAGGCAGGTACAGAATTGTGCTCTCTCACCTGTATCCATACTCCTAGGGCCAGCTCCCTCAGAAATCAAGTATACAAAATCTTTTGTTTCAAGGGATTGACAAATATAACTGACATGGGAAAGTGTTAAACCCTAAGCCATTTACAGGTTCTTACAGGCTTGATCTCCTTCCTTCACGAAAGACCCTCTTCCCAGTATGTAGGCCTACAGAGGTAACTTAGTACCTACTTCTCTCAGCCTCTGCTCTGCATAGGAATGATTACTTTGGTAATTTTCTTTGATAAATAAAAGGTTAAACTTTGGCTTAAAAAGCAGATAATTTGGTAATTTTCTCACCCTTCATTTCACTTACATTTGCACATAGAATTATGCCTCTAATTGGCAATTCAGAAACTGATTTGGCATTCTAGATTCCAAACTTACATATATAAGGAAAAGAGCCTCAGATTGAGAGTATTTCTCCTTATTTGTAGAATTTAAACTCAGACAACAAATGGGAAATTTAACTCAGTACACATTTCTATCACATAGTAGGTCTACCTCAAAAGAGCTGGGCCTCAAAATTATATAAATTTACAAAGTTGCCTGTGAGATTCCCAAAGAATTTGCCATTTAAAAAGCCTGGGTCTCTTCAAACACATGCCCCTTTGCCGAAAAATTGGCAGCCACAGAGGGAAAGGAGGGGAAATGTGAGAATTTCTCGGGGGGGGGGGTAGGGAGGTCTGACAACAAAGAAAATCAGAACCAAGCTCCCATCTTTAAAGCAGATTCCAATACAACAAGGTGTGTCAATCCTTTCTTCACCCCCAAATGCCATCTGTAACCATAACTGGGTGACAAGCAACTTCAGAGGAATGTCATGAGAATAAATGAATGGCTTTGTAACACATTCTGAACAATGGACTAAAGGGATCCAATTGAAGGGAAGTATAATATTTTCAACACATTAGGCTTGTCAGAGAAGCTTCTGCTCTTCCACATTTAGGAAGCTGATGGAATATTTCATGACTTGCTTTAATGTAGAGCTAAATGACTTATCATTTACTTTCCTTATATGCCTCCCTCCCGTACTGATGAAAAACAAACTCCCCAGAGCCTAAAAAATTCCAGCAAGATATTTTGCTGCTAAGGTTATGTACAGGGAATATAATCTCTCTAGACTCCAACAAAAATCTTAACTATCAACAAATAAACACTCTAATCTCCAATGGCCAATGGCCAACTATTACTCCATTTGGGTGAGTAAGAGGAGATTGGCCTAAATTGTAGGCCCAAGAGAGATTTGACTCTTCTTTAGTTTACACAGCAAATGCTTTGCATATACTGATTTTGCTAAAATAAATATTTAAAAAATAGACCGTTTTTCTAGGCTACATTAGAGAATGATCTCAGGCAATGCCCCTTGGTCAACTTTAAAACTAGCAACAGACCACGATCCTGGTAAACAATTAGAAGCTAGAGGATTAGGTTTCTTAGCATACTCACCTTAAATTATTTTGTTGGCCAGATGGAATGACACTATAGTAAACGGGCATTCCTGCTGTGGGCATAGATCCTTGATTAGACTGATTTGGGAACATAACAGGCTGTTGATAAGTCTGATGGGCAATTCCTTGAGAACCTTGAGGCAGTGAAACCTAAAATTTGAAAGACAATTTAAAGTAAAAACGTTTTTCAAAGACTTGCAAATGTTCATGTGTCCAGCCTCCATTAACTTTTAAAGCACCAGCACTTAGGAATAAGCTAATACTGCCAAAAGGCTTTCCTGATAAGTTAGCCACAGCGCTATCACTTTATTTCTATGTTCCCTTGAGTCAGCTGTTGTTTTTAGCTAGGATTTACCAACTAAACACACTGTAGACTAGATGCATTAGATTATGAAAAGATATGACATATGTACCTAAGTAAGTTATTTTGAAAAAAGAAACTTTCCGCATAAGGATGACCATCCGACATGGAAAAAGTAACACCATTTACCTCAGGGAGAGCTAAGTTAAGACTCAGGCAGCGGCTGGGCGCGGTGGCTCATGCCTCTAATCCTAGCACTCTGGGAGGCTGAGGCAGGAGGATCACTAGAGATCAGGAGTTCGAGAGCAGCCTGAGCAAGAGTGAGACCCCCCGTCTCTCCTAAAAAATGGAAAGAAATTAACTGGACAACTGAAAATATACAGAAAAAATTAGTCAGGCATGGTGGCACATGCCTGTAGTCCCAGCTATTCGGGAGGCTGAGGCAGAAGGATTGCTTGAGCCCAGGAGTTTGAGGCTGCTGTGAGCTAGGCTGACACCATGGCACTCCTGCCTGGGCAACAGAGTGAGACTGTCTCAAAAAAAAAAAAAAAAAAAAAAAAAAGACTCAGGCAGGGCATCAGTGAAGTATAATGGATCAGAGACAGTGAGAGCTTGGCAGCTTAAGGTATCTAGATATGATAGCTGCCGGGAACGTGGCCAGTGTTCCCTGCAAAAAACCGGGTGCCTTTGGTAGAGTTGCAAGGGATAAGAAAATCATAGAGAAAAATGGAAAATAAAAGAAATAAAAGAATACACTGAGACAAAGATATAGTTTCATAAGTTTAATAAAGATTATAGGCAAAGTGGGATCTCAGGGGGCCTAGACCTTCTCTGTGGGTCTCAAAAAGCCCCAAATGAGGTCTTACATGGTAACTTATAGGGAATAGTGAATAATTGCCAGGGGTAACAGATTTACATAACAGTAGGTAGTTCCTCTCAGGTTAACAGATTTTCAAAAGGCTTCTACAGATTCTTTAACTAATTCTATCTATGTGAGCAAATGGCAATAAAATCTTTCAAAGGTTAACTTCTAAGTTCTAAGGTAAGTTTATCACTTAACAGAGGGGTTAAACAGAGATATGTTGGCTCCATATTTATTAGGTTATTGTGAATGGAGACAGGTAGTCTAGAGTGTTAAAACAAGAGCTTTGCTTTTAGCCATTCGGGCAGCTGTCTGTTCCAGGGGGCACTCCATTGTCAGCTCTCGTCCTGTAGTTTTTAACAGATTCACTTTGCTTTACAAAGCAAATCCAAACCTTTAGGTCTGAGAAACTCGGTGCCTTGTGGCATATAGCCGCTACTGTCTTTCAGAGACACCTTTCCGAGTGTAACAGCATTTGAAATGCAAACCAACATGTTCCCATATTCCTTCAGGGCAAAGCTCTGCAAAACTCCTAAGACAAATCCTGTCTGCATACACGTTTACTATTAATTCATGGAGCAACAGATAGCAGCGCTGTCACCTTACTATGTGACACTGGGCAAATGATATAACTATTCTGAGGCCCTTCAGTGCCTTATCTAAAAAAATGAAAACAACATCTTCATTACAGAGGAGGTATTACTTCCATTATGAGATAGTACATCTAAAGGATCTAGTATAGCAGGCATTCAGTGAACGAGTCTTTCAATTCTGTTTTATTATCTGCATGAAACTACATGGACATAATGGACCCTTCAATTCTCTAGTTTCTACAGTTTCTAAAATAGAAATCACATAGGCATAAAGGGCTCTTAATTTACAAATGTACCACGATATTAGAGTTGGATTATAATGATTTTTTTTTTTTTGAGACAGAGTGTCACTCTCTTTGCCCGGGCTAGAGTGAGTGCCGTGGTGTCAGCCTAGCTCACAGCAACCTCAAACTCCTGGGTTCAAGTGATCCTTCTGCCTCAGCCTCCCGAGTAGCTGGGACTACAGGCATGCGCCACCATGCCCAGCTAATTTTTTCTATATATATTTTTAGTTGGCCGATTAATTTCTTTCTAATTTTAGTAGAGGCGGGGTCTCGCTCTTGCTCAGGCTGGTCTCGAACTCCTGAGCTCAAGCAATCCGCCCGCCTCGGCCTCCCAGAGAGCTAGGATTACAGGCATGAGCCACCGCGCCCGGCCGGATTATAATGATTTTAAAAAATAAAGCCAATATAAAAACTTGTACCGATGAAGATGATGTTAGCAACAGTAGTGATAATGAGGGGTAATATTACTGAGTACTTACTAACATGTATCAGGTTCTGTTCTAAGTGCTTTCGGTGTATTATCTCATTAAAGTTTCCTTAACAACTTAAGAAGGTACTTTTATCATCTCTGATTCACAGATGAGTAAATTGAGGTTATGTAACTTGCCTAAGATTGCATAGCTAGTAAGTAGGAAAGTAAGGATTCAAAACCATGCCCTCTGGCTCCAGAGCCTCAGTTCTTTAACCATTTCGCTATTCTCCATACCTAGCTCTGCGATTTAAAAGTCTTGCCTATGTGTTTCTGAAATGCACTAGTCCTCTCAAAATTACAGTGGTCTCTTAATTACTTTCCCTTTGGCTCATTTATCTCAAATAGAAAATTACTGATCTGCTTAATCTAAGTCTGTACTATACAACATATTTCAGACTTTTTGTCTACTAAGGCAGTGTAACTTTCTGAGATTATTATTTCTGTGTGTATCTAAGTTAATATATATGCAAGGCAGATCTGGGACAAATGACATAGCTCAATCTAGATGACTTAAACTATTGGAATAAATTTATAACCAGGTAAAGAAAAAAATATGAAGCACCAAAAACGAGAGAGTGGCTATTACTTGAGAATATACAGCCACAGAATTCACTACTGACAGATGACTTTTCTGGCTTATTTTTTAGATGACAGTTTATCACTAACCAGCTTGTCTACCAAATATGGTACGGAGCATACTATAAAGCAGGTGAGTCATTCATTGCTGGTCAGAGCAACACTTCCTACAATTATTCACTCAATGTGAGGATTACATGAAATACTATGAGAAAATAATTTTAATTTGTAAAAATGTATGCTATAGAAATTATAACTCTTTTATCTTATCTCTGGAATACTTTCAATATCCAGCTCCATTAAAAAAGACTATACTAATAAGGCTATAATTTATTTAAAAATGACATTTCTCTGACTAGACTGTGAGCCCTTAAAGATCAAAGGCAGATTTTACTTAACTAAATCTTTAGCACCTAGCACAGTGCCTGGGCATCTAACAGAGGTTCAACGTATTGGATTAGACAGCACGACCAGGATCTTTGAGAAGGGAGTGATGATTCTAATGTTTAGCTATGGGGGAAACAGGAAGGGCGGGCTCAAGTGCCTAGGTTTAAGCATGGAGGATAAGGACTAAAAAACATGGGGGATATGAGAGAAAGGAAAGACGCAAAGCCTAGCTTCATGACGTATCTTTTCTTTTTTTGTAGTTGCTTTCTATTATTAAGAGGCTTCAAAAATGGGCATACTCTTAATGATCAATAATACTTCACAATTCCACATTTTAATTTGAATATTCTGGAACTATATGGAATATGCTTGCACCTTTGTTTATATCCAGGATGTCTTCTTAACGAATTCATGCCCATAATTTTCTTTTAAGAGCTAAAGGTTTCTCACTTCCCAGAAGCTTTCAGTATCAAGTACCTAACCTATTCATTGCTTTATTTCATGATCCTTTCAGTTACTGGTCTGTATACTACCACCAATTTGTTTACGTGTGTCCAGATAAAATACATATGTATTTTATATTCCCAACTAGATTATTTTTTCCTTGTTAAGATAAATCAAAATGGTCTTTGGAGTTCTTAAAATTAGACTCAGCTATGAAAAACCATGAGGCTATAAAATGAACACACTTGTAAGTTATTCCATAAAGATGAAAGAAGGTAAAACGAATTCTGAAAATGTGTCCTATTATACTAAAGACATCTGCTTATTTATGAAATAATAGGTATTTCTGCTTTAGAACTATAAATTAAAACCTATGACATTTTAGATACATGACATATCACCCCTTTCTGTGATTGAGATGGGGGAAAAATATCATTCCCACCATGAGAAACTGCACATACTTCCCTATTCTATAAATAATGATTTATTATCTATACTTTAATAATTCACTATTTCAAATGCCTATCTCCCCACCTCTATTTTTCTTTCTATTCTTCTCTTCCCTGCCAATGAAGACTTTCTAAGGAGCTGAAGAATAGAGTAAGACACTTGCTTACATCCATATATCACTGGAACTACAGACAATGCCAGATAAAACTTACATGCCAAAATCAATGTGGTTCAGATATTCTAAATATTAATGAAGTGAATGAATAAAGCAATCAAATGAGGATAAAACAAAGCTGTTATGACTAATATAACTGTTAAGACTATAAAGTTGCATATTACAGAAGTGTTTTCCCTGTATTAAAAGAACATAAAAGACATATGGTAGTCATACATTTAATTTATTCAAAATTATGTCTACCCAAAGTAGGTAAAAGAGACAACATACCTGATATGATGGCACTGTGGGATAGGGGATGACTACTCCTTGAATCTGATTTCCAATGCTGTTGGGTTGGCCACTGACTAGGTTCTGACTCTGGGGTTGCTGAACTCCAACTATTCCTTGGTAGTTTTGCTGCTGGTTGGGCACAACTTGATAACCTGTAATAGCACAATGAGTTAAATCCTGCTTTGAATTTTATTTATTTCATCTAATAAAATTTTTAGCAAGTACTTTTATGTTCTAAAATGACAGAATTTTGATTAAAGGGCAAATCCCCCAAACACTTAGATAACATTCAAAAAGTTTACTATGTAGGTAGGTAACCCAAGACAGCTACACTTACTTCCCCCCTCTAAAATACATTCAAACAAAACCTATGTACAAATATTTCTTCTACAGTTAAGGAAAGTTAAAGGGTTGCACATTTAGTTAACACAGGAAATTACTATTCAGCGTGTTTTACAATCTGTTATGACAACTAGTTTCTGGGGAGCATGACTGGCTACATGATACGTGGGGCCCAGTGCAAAAGAAAAATATGTAGGGACCCTTGTTAAAAAATTATTAAGCATTTCAAGTTGGCAGCAGAAGCACATTAGCACAGGCATGGGCCCTGTGCAACTGCAAAGGCTGCATGCTCGTGAAACTTGCCCTCAAGAAAAAGAGGTGGGGGAAGAGAATCACTTTTATAGAAAGGTTGCATGTTTGAAAAATCACACTAAGATATGACTTCTTATATTAGGAATGTGTCAAAGATAAAAGGCAAACTGAGTTATTTAGTCATTTTTTATATTATTTCCTAAGGGACAACTGTCCCTAAGCTAAAAGCACTATTGATAATTTAAATAGTAAATTAAGTGTATAAATTTACCTTTATCAAGCGAACTTACTTATTTAAATAAGAATCTATAATGATAAGCTCTGAGTAGTGAATATGGACTGTATTTTGTGTTCTGATCCTAAGAGAATTCCTTTAGGTACACTGATGAGCTCAATATTCATGTAAATTACTAGAAGCTACCACAAATTCTCTCCTTAAAAAACCAGGTAAAAATAATCATCTAGCTTTAGGGCATTGAAAAAGTTTTTATAAAAATAAACTGAACTACAGCACTGCTTATACAAACATCAACAGATAAAGGGCAATGAAATTATTTGCCTGATAACAACATAAATATATTTTGCTATCTTATAAATAGCCATTTTTCATTTACATCTTCATTAATCCCTAAAGCAACAAAAACTGCAATTTCAAGTACTGATTATAGACAACAGTATCATCGTGGTTGTCTGGTATTCTTAATGTAATGATTCTGCTCAAGGACTAAATAATTGAATGAAATCTAGTATCAACTTTCTCTAAAAATACAAATACAAAGTATATCTGATAACCAAGCAACATATTAACAACAACAAAGTAAAAATGCGGTCACGGTAAATTCTTTAACAGTGAAGGTTTTTGTAAAATGATGTTATTTCTATGGCAGCAGTGCTTTATGGCCATGTTTCAAATGACTTCCTACCAATCTAAATTGTACAAAAAAATGTATAATCTAGTCCTTATCTGTAATACAGTGATTGAGAATATGCTGTTTGCTAAAACTTTCTCCCCTGTGAATTTTCTGTATTACTTGAACTTTTAGGCATGTAAAGCAGGAGAGCAGAAGAAATTTCTTTCTTGCCTTTTAGCGTAACAATTAATATTCAACCCTATTTTCAGTTCATCAAATGACAAGTGTTTCAAATTCACACCCAAAATCCCAAACACCATCAAAATATACACTGACAAATTCCCACCCATAGGAAGATAAAGGACAGGAATGGAAATGGGATTTGAACATGAGACATTTTCTTGTGTTGGAAGCATCACCTCTCAACACAAACGCACACACACACACCACACACGCATGCATCTATTGTTAGCATCAGAATTTGGGCTTTACCATAGACTGGGATAATAATTTCTTAAAACAGTTTTGGCAGAATTATAGTCTATTAAAATGAAAACAAGCAAACTATGGATATCTGGCAGAATTCGCTGTAATATAATCTGACTTAAAATACTTTTGACTTAAAAAGTCACATCCCCTTAAGAAACTTAAATGTTTTATGTACCTTTTACAGTTTATTCAAATATGTGCAAGGTTATAGGTTGCCTTGAAAGCTTTATAAAAAACAAAGCCAATTCATGTGCACATGTAGTTCTGAATTTTTTATTTACCTAAATTTACCTATTTTTGGAGACTCATCTTGGAGGTCTCTTGCCTAAAATTCTTTCTAATGATAAAAGGTCTGAGACAGAAGGCTTTCAGTAAATAGCTATAGAAACCATGTCATAGTGGTTTAATGTAGGGTCACTTGGACATTACATCATGGAATTTGCATCATTAAATTCCTAATGGTATTTTAGATTCCTTAATGCATCTAACCTCCATTAATGTCCATGCCTACTAATTGCCATACACATACACCACGCACATTTTGAAAACGTGACGACATGAAATCTAAAACTCTAAAACATGTGACCCTAGCATCTGGTCATTTGTTACAGAGGGTAGTAAAAAGGATGCTGTGATCCCAGGACATGCCAGCTGGGCTATATAAAGATGGGTATGACATGGTCCTTGCCTCTGAAATAAGGTATTCTTAGCCATGATACCATATGAAGATAAGAGTATAAGTGGAGAGGGAGAAATTAATTCTGACTGATATTCATGGAGGTGGTGACATTTGAGCTTGGACTTAAAGAAAAAGGAAAAGAACATTCCAGTAAAAAGCAAAGGCCTGGAAAAAGTAAAAAATGAATAATATGTTTGAGGAGTAGGGAATAGTTAGGAGTGTCTGGACAAGGTATGTGGGGTGAAAAGTGAAAGATGAAGGTAGAATAGAATACTGGTGGAGAATCAAAGGTTTTACAAGTGGAAAAGGGATGAAAACTACCAGGAAGTTCTAGATTTTAAAGACTGTGAAAGTAGAAAAAACATTAACATTAGTACTTCCTTCACAAGTAACATAAATACACTAGGAATGTGTCCCTTAACAATAGGGGAGCTATTAAAAATAAGAATGCCAAGCACTTTAAAAGAAAATACCTTCCCTAATAAGCTCTCTTATTAATCCCTTCATGATTTTGTCCATTTCCTTATACCACATCTCATGAAACTCTACAGGTAATACCAATGTTTTCTTGCCAGTTGTTCTCTCGTTGTTTGTGTATGCCTTAAAAAAATGCAAATGGTATGCTTTTTAAAAGTAAAGGCAGAAATTTTAACAGTCACCCCTCCCCTTTAAAACAACTCACACATCAATTATCACACAGCTAAGCCAAAAAGTAAGCAGTTAATATTTATACTTAGTGAGTGAACAACAGGGAAAAACTTATTCTTAACAAAATGGTACCAAAATAATATATGCTTCTACACAAAACCAGAAGCTTACTATGTGCTGACAGGCTAAGAATGGCCAGTTTCTCATGGTTCACATTTAGAGAATGGTTTCTCATAAGAAAAGCTGAATTTAAATTTTAAGATAAGATTAATTTAGAAGGTTAAATACATTTAATCACCTTTTCATTAAAACCACACTTAAATTCCATGAATACAAATCACATCAGTCTGGAATTCATGGATCACTCATTAAATATCTCCTAGAAAATTATACAAGTGAATCACAGATCTCATGTAATTAACCTAAAAGTGCTTACTTGATAAGGAAGAATACAAAATTGTTTCAATTTATATCTAATATTGATATAAAGCTTGAAATGAAGGTATTATTAGAATATTTCTAAAAATGTGAACATTAAAAACACCTTTTAAAAAAACCTTATTTGATCATAAAAAAGATTTTCATGGTAGAAAATCTGGAAAACACAAAGAAAAAGCCACTGTGAAAAAATAATCACTTATAGATAATTACCATTTACATGTTGTATATATGGCTAGCCTCATTTTCTATGCAGAGAGAAACACATATACTCATTTACTTTATTTACAGAAATGAGATTATATGACACGGACTGTTTCAAAGCCTTTTTCCATGTAATGTTTCCATACCTGATCAACAGAGATTTTACAGTCTATCGGAAGGAAGTACTTAAGCAATTTTCTTAAAACATACTTATACCTCAAGTTTAACAATCAAAGGATGAAAAAAGAACTCAACTGATCTCTGCTGTACTTTCAAGATGAAGGCATGTGTCAAGAAGCAAAAAAGACAAAGGACTAAATATTTTAGGACAAATTATGTCAGCTCCCTGTGTCTGGCCTGGAACGCAGCCCAAAATTCCTATGCCTTTTTATTTAAAATACCATATAATTATCACTGCTTCAATGGCACCACAAAGTAATATTAACAGCTAACACTCATACAACATTTATTAGAATTCAGGCACTGCATACTTTATGTAACTCATTTAGTGCTCACAATCTTATGAAATAGGTAAAATTATTATCTCCATTTTTCAGATGAGAAAACAAAGGCACAGAGAGGTTCATACCTTGTCCAAGGTCAACAGCTTGTAAGTATGTAGCTGGGAACTGCACACAGCTGTCTGATTCTAAAATTTACTTTTCTCAGGGACAAATGTTGAAGTAGAAAAAGTATTACGGTAATACTGATCAAATAAGCACAACCTGGCCTCTTTCCATATTCTGAGAATTTTGGTTAATGAAGACTTATGTTATAGTTTGATATACCTAAGTTGCAAGATAAATTTAATTGCAGGAAAACAGAGAATTATTGTAAATAAAACTCAATCAACCAGGAAACTCTCTGTTCATCTGAGTTAATGATTATTTACAAGTATTATTATTCAAAATAGGAATCAGGATGAAAGATTGTTGAGTAGTTTGTCCAGGTGGTAGTTATATGAATGTGGGAGCTAAAAAAAGACCAGGTGTAAGAGTTTATTTATATGATCAGTCCATAAAGTCTTTTCCCTAGGAGAGATTTTCCTTCACTTGTTTTGTCCACTACTCCCAAGATGTATGGTTTGACACCTATGTGACCTATGTATTTCAAAATTATACTTCCTTTCCTTATTATAATTAGATTATATATATAAATTGTATGAAACTACCGGGAAGTGCAAGAGGAAGCTCAAATGGTGATGTATTTATTTCAGGTTCCATATTCCATGGTTCTATGTCTCTCAGCC